GAAACCATCAGGAGGTCATCGTGGTGCCTGAGGAGTCACGGAAACTTGGAGAATGATGTGGCGAATAAAGGCGACTCGCAAAATCATGAGGGGTGTCAGGACAACACTTCACAGTTGCAGAGGGGGAAAGAGGCCTTGAGGGGAAAGGCCACTAATGCCGAGAGAAAAGCTTACAAGATTGATTCAGGACCCTCCGACCAAAGCAGTCAGGGTATGACTGCCGACTGTGCAGCTCCTAATTCCATCGAGGGTCCACCCAGGCAAGTCCCCCAGGGTTCGGCTGCCCCTCCGAGGGCTGGCCACATGAAAGGTAGCAATACACTCTCTAACACATTCCGCCTGCAGACAAAGCTTTTCACATTGTGCGTGGAGGGTCTGAACGAATTCAATGGAGGCTAAATCTATGTGGAGACTTCCAAATGGATTTGGGGTTCTCAATGTAAACTGTATCTTTTGGGAAACCGAGTGCTTAGAATTTTGGCTCGAATACGGGACCCAGTGTACAGCAATGTCCATCCTCACTATCCTGCTACAGCTGAGCCGCCCCTGCAAGCAGCGTGCCGGTCTCTCTCAAAGGCCTTCCACGTTTTCACTGCAGTGTGCCAATCTCTCTGGAAGGCCTTCCACATTTTCACTGATCCTCTACAGAGAATTCAAATCTATTAAAACAACTTCAAGGAAGAAGAAGAAGAAAACCCTTAAAGGACAAGACAGAGTGTCCCTTCTACCAAATGCCACAAAGAAGCTGACCTTTATACGTGCCGAAAACGAAAAGCCTGAACGTTGGAGACGTGATGACAGCCCAGCTAGGGCCTTCGAAATCTAACAAATGACACAGTGTTGTGTTACCCGGGTTTCCCTTTTGTGTCATTTACCCCATCATGAGCATGGCGATGCTCAAAGAGGCAGCTCCAAAAAGCCTAATGAGAAGCCAAACGGCTAGGAAAGGGCAACCTCGTAAGACGGAATGTCTCTAGACAATGACTGCACAACTCCAGCTAAGTGCCGCAGACACAGTCGAACCCCACGCTCCCCCTGTCAGCAGACACTGAGCAGGCCAGTCTAGACCTTCCCCTCCCTGGGCTTGTCTTGGGTCTCTCGTGCTGTGCTGCCGTAACAGAAATAGCACAAGTGGATGGCTTCCACAAACAGAAGTCCATTTTCTCAGAGTTCAGGAAGCTGGACTCCAAATTCAGTGTGCAGGTTGTCGGGAAAGGCCTTCTCTGTCAGCTCTGGAGGAGGGTCCCGGTCTCTTCTGACCTGCTGCCCATGAGCAAGTTGTCCTTGGCTTGACATCTCTCTTCCATCATCTGTTTGCCTCTATTATATAATCCCTTTTATGTATCAACAGAGATGGACTCAAGACAACCCCCGATTAACGTAATAAAGACAATATATTCCCCAATGGGAGATAACCCGAGGCTTAAACTGGCCAAACCCACTGCCATTAAGTAGTCAGACCCTATAGCAGGGGTCCTGAAACTATAGCCCACAGGCCACATGTAGCCCGCCGAGGACATTTATCCGGCCCGCCAGGTGTTTTTGCCCCACTTTTTTAAACTTCAAAATAAGATATGTGCAGTGTGCATAGGAATTTATTCAGTTTTTTAAAAAAACTATAGTCTGGCCCTCCAACGGGTCTGAGGGACAGTGAACTGGCCCCGTTTAAAAAGTTTGAGAACCCCTGCCCTATAGGATAGAGTAGAACTGCTCCTTAGACTGTACATCCTTTGGGGAGCAGATAGACTCCTCTTTCTCCCATGGAGGTGCTAGTGGGTTTGAACCAGTAGCCCAACCCTTAATCCACCGTGCCACTAAGTCATGAACCATAGACATAAGCAAACAAGCCCACTTCCATTTTGAAAATTCCAACTCACAGTGACCCTACCAGACGGAGTAGAACAGCTTTATAGGGTTTCTGAGACTGTAAACCTTTCCAAGACCAGGTGACTTCATCTTCCCCACCTTGGCGCAGCTGCGGGGAAGCCCAGATGAGAAAGCATGCAGGGGTGAGTCCTGCAGCCTGCGGAGCCTTCACAACCTGGGTTAATGGCTAGAGCGAATGGGACCGAATCTGATGCACAAGCTTTGATGGAGAAGAAGCTCCTGCAAGACAAGGAGCAGCCAGAAGGGACTGAAGGGCAGGGCAGTGACAGCACCAGGGTCCTGGGTTGAAGGAGGCGCTGCTTTGGGCCCCTTTGCCTACCTGCTGAGGTCTGGACTGCCCTGGTCACTTGCCCCAGGCAGGCATAGGTGTCCCAAGAAAGTGTGCCTGGGGTGTGCCTACAAAAAGGTACTAAGTAGGCTTGGGTCCAGAAACACACACACACACACACACACACACACACACACGCATCAATCAAAACTAAAACACCAACTCACAGCCATCAAGTAGATTCGAACTCATTGCAATTCTATAGGACAGCGTAGAACTGCCCCCTTTAACCTTCCAAGATGGAAACCCTTTATGAGAGTAGAAAACCTCATCTTTCTCCCACAGAGCAGCTTGTAGGTTCGAACTGCTAATCTTGCGGTCAGCAGCCCAACTCATAACCACTACACCACTAACACGCCCGATGTCAATCAAGGACCGAGTCAAGGAACTTCAGGTGCCAATAGCAACTAGCCCAAAAGGCTGGTGCCTGGAACCTGCTCAGAAGCACCTCGGAGGGAAAGGCCTGGTGACTGCTCTGGAAAGATCACATCTTCGAAAACCCTGCGGGAGCCGTTAGCTCGACTGCGCATCCAAAAGGTTAGAATCGACTAGACAGTCACCCACCAACAGCAACCACGAAAGGACTGCACAAGAGGCAGTCTCTATTCCCGCTTGTGTGTCAGGTAACATACGGTGGTGGCCTCTGTGTGACTGTGATGTTGGACGCTGTGCCACCAGTATTTCACAGGCCAGCAAGGTCACCCAGCCTGGAGAGCTTTCAGCTGTGCCTTGACGGGAAGGTAAAGTGGGAAGGTCCAGTAGACCGTTGTGAGGATGGCGCAGGGCCGCCCGGGGTTTCCTTCTGTCGTTCCTGTTTGGTGAGGGAAGGGAAAGAGGGCTGGCGCAATTGGGAGAGAAAGGGAAACCGGCCGGACATGGTGGGTGACGAGCGCAGACCACAGTGGGGAGGCGGCCACTGGCCTTTGGCACCTAGGAAGGAGTCCAGAGGGAGGTCCACCTTATTAGAGAAGGCCAGAGACGTTTGAAGACGTTCCATCTGCGAATAACGCTCCTCTCAGTCACCTCAGGATCTTCTGGGAAAGATGATTAGCTGGGTTAACGGCGAGGCTCAGGGCTTGCGTGGCAATGAGTGGATTGGGGCACGAGAAAGCCCAAACGCACCTGTGGCTAACGCTCGAGTTCCCCGCCTCCCGGCTGGTCAAAAGCGGTAAGAGAACAGCTTGACCGCCAGGGGGCGGTGTCTGGGGAAACTCGCCTATATCCCATCAGCCCCGGCATCCGGGGCGGAAGCACACGTGGAGGGGCCTCTCTGGGGTTCGCCTCGTCTCGACTCCTCTCCCGACTGACGTTGGACAACAAAGATGGCGGCGGGAAGCAGCAATTACTGGGAAGGTGAGCGGCAGGCCTCGGAGGGGGTCCCGCCGAGGGGCCGAGGGGTTGAGCGCGGACGGGTCTCGGAGGAGGTGGCCGAGAAAGAGCTGGGTCTCCGAGCGGGGTGCGGGGCGGGTCTCGGGGCGCGCCGGGGGCCTGCGAGTGGAGGGACGTGAAGGTCTGGGGCAGCGGGCTGGCCTCCTCGGCAGGTCCTGACCCGGCCGCCTCAGCGGGACCGGAGGCTGGCTTTGGGCGGGGACCGCGGAGAGAGGGCGAAAAGGAAGCGGTCTCTGAAGGGCTGGAAGAGAACGGGGTTGAGGGATCAGCGGGACTCGGTTTAGAGTCCGAACTGAGGAAACGGGTGCTGGGCGCGAGTGGGTGCCCGGCCTCGGAGAGAGCGTCACGGCTGGAAAACCCCGGGAAAAGAGCTCAAAGCCGGGAAGGGGACACTGTCAGCCCGCGCCGTGAGGGGAGTTGTCCGAGCGTCACGTCTCTGATCGGGCCCCCTCGGCTGCTTCGGGCTGGGGCTTCGAGGCTTGGGTGTCGAACCGGGTTTGAAGGCAGAGGAAATACACTTCCCGTCTGCCCTGGAGTCAAGAATCGGAGTTCTTTTTTCAAAAAGAGAGAGAGGAGTTTGGGACAACCCGTGTGATTTAACGAGGGCGCTTAATGCCTAAGAGCGGGCTCGTGGGAACTCCTCCTGGGCCTCAATGTTGAGGAGAGTGTTCCCGTTTGCTTGCCACTCGCCTGGCGACATTAAAATCCCTCCCCGAATCATTTTCCTATTTGGGCCTATTTCCTGTTGCTCCCCAGATACCCTGGGGAAACACCACGGGTGTGTGCGAGTGTGTGTACGTGTACATACATAAGGAGGGGGCTACACAAAGTTCTGAGAAATGGGATGCAAAGATAATGCATTTTTCCACAAGCTTTGGGAAGCAAACCCCTGTGTATTTTCACTGGATGACTTCCACCCGAGAAGACGGTAAAAGAAGCATGTTTAGAATTCATTTAAAACACATATTAAAATGCTCTTTTGAAATGTATTAACAACAACAACAAAAGAAATGTATTAGCTACACAACACTTTGGAATTAGCCATTTCAAATTGGATAGAAGTGGCTCCTAGATTCTTTAATCAGTAGAATATGGTGTTTTGAAGCAGCCTTCTGTAATTGCCCACTGCCTTCCATTTGATTTTAACTCAGTAATTTAGAGGACAGAGTCGACGTGCTCTCCGGAGCAGCGGTTCTCAACCTGTGGTCGCAACCCCTTTGGGGGACGAACGACCCTTTCACAGGGGTGGCCCGATTCCCAACAGTAACAAAATGACAGTTATGAAGTATGGATTGTAAAAAAGGGTTGTATGAGCCCCCAATAAAATGATTTAAAGAAAATAATGTTATGGTTGGGGGTCACCACAACATGAGGAACTGTATTAAAGGGTCACGGCATTAGGAAGTTTGCCACTGGGGTTTTGGGACTATAAAATCTTTAAAGGGTTAGGCAGCCTCGTGTTTGCCCCATAGAGTGGCTGGTGGATTTGAACCACTGGCGTTCCTTATTGAAAGCCTAATTTGTGACAGCTGCTGTCATGATTAACGTTTCCATTGAGTCAGTTCTCACCCATAGCAACCCAGTTCTTAATGATCCGCGGGCAAACCTCTGGAGGTTTGGGTTTAAAGACAAAGCTGAGGATCCAGGTTAGGTACGCACGGCCATGGTCAATGCTGACTCATCATGACCCCTTCCGAGACTGGAACTGCTTCAGGAGTAGAAAGTCCTGTGGTTTTGAATGGCAGACCATGTCCAATGCTTTCCCACTACACCACCAGGGTAGATTTCAGATAAATCTCAGCTAGCTGAACTGGGATTTGATCTGTGGACAAAAATGTGCCTCTGTGTTACTCTGCTTTTTACTTCTAGTGATAAACCAAACCCACTGCCATCGGATAGATTCCAACTCATAGCGACCCTAAAGGGTGTCAGAGGCTGTAAGTCTTTATGAGAGCAGACAGGCCTGGAGTAGCTGGTGGGTTTGAACCTCTGCCACCACCAGGACTCCTTTCCAATGATAAGTGTATTGAAATATTATTTGTATTCTTTACTGCCATTCTGTCCTGTAGTCCGTCCTTTTTGGTTAAGCCAGCATTTCATCTTGAATGGAAGTAATCATATCTAGGTGTGCGTTTCCTCACACTCAAGCCCTTAGAAGTCAAATTAGGTATCAATTTCACCCCTGCTGTTTGCTTCCCTTCTTAAAAGGGTCTGCGCTCATTTCCATCGTATCATATTTGACCTGATCAGTAGCACAGCATTTATTGTTTCAGCTTCTCCTTTAGTAACCATGTTGAAAGGGAATTTAAAAGTCTTTGCCATGGATCATATTTTAAAATTTTATGCTCAACCAGTAAGTCATTTTATTGTTAAGAGATTCATTAGCCTACTAAAGCTTTGGAATATAAATAGCAAAATCTATCAAACAGCGATGCTTTCTTAGCTGGTGAATTGATGTCATGCTAGCTAGACTGGAAACCATATTCAGTTCCTTTGTCATTTGTACTTTGTTATGGTTTCCCCTGAATTAAAAAATTGTCTTTATTGCTGTAGAAGTAATTATAGGAATGTTGGAATAGCATCTCACTACTGTAAAGCTAGCTGTTTTTGGAATAGAGCTGAAGTCTATCTCCCACAGTTTATTCCCTCCTCCTCTTTCCCCTCCCCTTCTTCCCTAGTGTGAAGTTTAAATAAAGGACTTGCTTGCTCTCCTGGATATTTGCTTTCTTCCTTTTTGACTTATTTATGGAAGAATTAGATCAATAACTAATCATTTTTATAGTTTGTTTTCTACAGAGTATTTTCGTGATGTTACATGTGTACTGGTAGATTTTTTGTGTTTAATCATTTGCTTTTATACTTTTTATTAAAGATCTCAGGAAACAGGCCCGACAGTTGGAGAATGAACTTGACCTGAAACTAGTGTCCTTTAGTAAGCTGTGTACAAGCTACAGTCCCACCAGTTCCCGAGATGGAAGACGCGACAGGTATAGGTACTACCAGATTCTCTCTTTTGCCTTAAATGATAATAGTGTTTTTTAAAGCATTCAAAAATAAGATAGAATATATGACCCCTGTAATTTGGTCTGTTTGGTGAATTTGGGGTTTCTTTTTTAAGCATTGATTTTGTTAAAAGTGACCTATTCAAATCTTCTTAATTCTTGGGATTGGCGTTTATTTAGGATCCTTGGGCAAGAATTATGACATTGCCAACAGAATAATGCTAGGTGTTCACAGTGAGTTTGCATCAGAAATAAGAGTTTCTAGTTGAGCCAGTACGAGACCATTTCGCCCCATTGTATTCTTAGGGAAAATCCCATTCTGTTTCAGATTGCGAAATGGAAATGAGGAACTGCTCAAATGCAATGTATACATAACTATGATATTGTGCTTTAGACTAAATGTAGGGCCATATATATGCCCACTACTAATAACAAAGTTATTTTTTATTCTGGTGTTCTTTTGAGAAACAAGCCTATTACTGTACTGAACATATAGAAAATACATTCTTTTTGAATGATATTCTTACTTTAGGTCATCCACTTGTTTACAAAAAATTAAATGCTTAAAAAGATAGAATAGGGAGGGAGAGTAGGGGTGGGAATGAGCTGATATCAAGAGCTCAAGAAGAAAGAAAATGTTTTGAAAATGATGGCAACATATGTACAAATGTGCTTGACACAATGGATGGATGTCTGGTTTGTGATAAGACCTGTATGAGCCCCAAGAAAATGATTTTAAAAGGGACGAAAAGATAGAGTAATATAATGAACCCTGTGTAAGTAACATCCTCCCTTATTACCACTTTATTTGACTGCCCGGTATACCCCTCTGGTAGCTTCTCCCTTCTTGTCTCCCCATAATCACTATATTTTTACTACATGTATACTACATATGTTTGTATTCGTAACTAACTTTTTCTATGCTACTATAGTTATTTTTTCAACTTTGTTCAACCCTATCTTAAAGTCAGCTATGGGTATGCTTAACTTTGATATATTCGTTTGCTGCATATCCCCCTCACTACCATTGAGTTGATTCGGACTCAGTGATCCTATAGGGTAGAGTAGAACTGCCCCTGTTTTCAAAGGCTATAAGTTCTTTACGGGAACAGACAACCTCATCTTATTCCTGCAGAACAGCTGGTGGGTTCGAACTGCTGACCTCTCAGTTAGCAGTCCAATGTGTAACCACTGTGCTACATTCTATGACTCTCTTATCAGAATTTGCCCTTTTTGTAGATGGGCATTCTTTCTAATTTTTTGCTCCTCACCCATCAGGCACTAAGAGCTTACGTATATGTTCTTGGGCACATTTTTTTCACACAATGTTTCTATATACCAGGAGTAGAATTGCTAGTAAAGTGTTTTTAGTTTCTGTCCACTCTTTTATTTTCGATACTTTTTCAAGGATTGATGGTGGGTGGAGTATTCTACATCTAAAAGTAAAAATAACATCTGAACTTGAATTTGAACTAAGGCCCATACTCTAAAACTTACTATATTATGCATATTCCAGCAGAAGACTGATGGTTTTGACTTGCTGCCTTCTTGGGCTGTTAGTTGGATGCTTTACCCACTGCACCACCAGCACTCCTTTGGACTCTACACCCCAAACCAAACCAGAGTCCATTGTAACACAGCCCTATATAGGATTTCTGAGACCATAAATCTTTACTGGAGCAGACAGCCTCATCTTTCCCTTGGAGTGGCTGGTGGGTTTGAAATGCTGGCCTTACAATTAAGCAGCCCAATGCCAAACCCACACCACCACCAGGGCTTTTTTTTTTTTTTTTTTTTTAACTCTCTATTATTACTTTTAATAACAGCAAAATAGTTGTTGTAAAGGTAAGAGGGCCAACATATTGTTAATGTGGCCTGAAAGAAAGTTATTGGCATGCCAGGTAGATATGACTGTAGTGTATTCCTTTGACCTCATCTTTACTTAACAAGCAAAGCAAAATAGGAATGGTTTTGTCTTTGTTTTTATTTTTCTATCAATAAGCATATTTTGTGATTAGAAATAATTTTTCCAGAATATTAAGCCTCCCACTTGGCTACTGCCAATGAGGGTACAATATTGGCTCCACTTTTTTAAGTGTCTATAGTTCAAGAACTTCAAAGTCTTGGAATTACCACACACATTTAATAAGATGAATTAAAATTGAACTGAAAACTAGTATTATGGAGAGCGACTTTTTGGCTATTTCCCTGGCTTCATATATTGTCCTGGGGTGTCTGGTGAAGGAGGAATAACTAGCAGTAGAATGATGAGCTCCTTCATTCATTCAGCGGTTACTTAATGCGCACCCGCCATGTGCATGTTTTAGGTGACTAAGACACTGCCACCCCTCCTTACAGATCTTATATCCTGGTGGCTTGTTGTTGCTTTTCATGTGTCTCATAGAGGAACCTTTGTTGTAGTCATAGAGGGAGCATTTTTACCTGCTCATTTTGGGAGAGAACCAGAGAGCTAATATTTGTCAGAGCCAATATTAAAGAACTAAATATTTGCATACCAAGTTTTAAGGAAAATAAATTAGAATCATTCAAAAAGAAATAAGGATTTGGTTCTATTAGAGCTAAAAATTAAAATCCTTTTTGGTTATTATGCTACTTGTTACTATTGTGTGGGAATGTATGTGAAGAAAGCAAATGTAGCAGGGCTTTTTTTTCATAATGAACTGATGATGTAATCCATCTTATCTACTGCACTCAAGGATTCGCAGAGGACAGTACAAAGTTTCCTATAAGCCTGGAGAACACTTATAGCCTGGGCAATTAGCTGTGTCCTGGATAGTGCAGATCAGCATTGAGCTGCACATTTGATAATATGAGTGGGGTTCAGAAAGTTCATGGAAAAATTTCCATTATCTTTCTATTCCATTTTTCCACGAATTTTCTCATGTTTCCTTGTGTGAGTATGGTCACCTGGAGAGTGATGAAGGTCATCCCCACCAGAGGAGTGATGAAGGTTAATGGGGCTTTTTGTTGTTTTGTTTTCAGAAAAAGGCAAAAGAAATCTTCAGGACATACAGTTTTAGAATTTGAATCTGTCACAAAATGTCACTTGTATACAGTTAGGTTTTTATTACTTAGATTTTAAAAGACAGTTGAACACAATTTTTGCATATTAATTAAACATTTTTGCAAAACAAGACATAACATACTTTAGATGGACATTTAGAGGGCTGCTACTAAAATGTTCCTGGTAGGCAGGTAGGCACGGATGTTTATATTAGACTTAAAGCCAGCTATTGATTATTCAGTAACTAATTTTCCAAACTAGGCATCAGCTGCATCTCAGTTTTCTTTATTTTTTAAAAAAAATTTCTTTTCTCAGAGCCAAAAGAGTATGAAGTTAATTTCAGGTATAAGGAACCATACTTGCTTTGGAGGGACAATTTTTTTTTTAATATCATTCTTCACAAACTCCATAACCTAATACACTTATGGCTCCCTTATATATTCTGCTTCATAGTTCTGTAGTTTTCATTAACGTAGTTTATTTTTTTTAAGTCAACAGGCAACTGCGCACTGCCATAACCAGTTATTTTCTATCATTTTGTAAACAGTACAAGCACTTTTAATTTCATTATGCTACTAAGATCAGATGTACTTTTACCTTGGGAAAAAACCTTTTTTTAAAAAAAATCGTTTTATTGGGGGCTCATACAACTCTCAGCACAATCCATACATACATCAATTGTGTAAAACGCATTTGTACATTCATTGCCCTCATCATTCTCAAAACATTTCCTCGCCACTTAAGCCCCCGGCATTAGGTCCTCATTTTCCCCCTCCCTGCCTGCTTCCCCCTCCCTCATGAGCCCTTGATAATTTATAAATTATTATTTTGTCATATCTTGCCCTGTCTGACGTCTCCCTTCACCCACTTTTCTGTTGTCCATCCCCCAGGGAGTAGGTCACATATAGTTCCTTGTAATTGGTTCCCTCTTTCCAACCCACTCTCCCTCTACCCTCCCAGTATCGCCACTCACACCACTGGTCCTGAAGGGATCATCTGTCCTGGACTCCCTGTATTTCCAGCTCCCATCCGCACCAGTGTACATCCTCCGGTCCAGCCAGACCTTTATGATGCTCCTCCTGCGTTCCAGTTGTGTTAAAGTTCCCTCTAAGCAACTCTCCTGGGCTCGATTCTGCGGAGTCCCTCTGGTATGTCAAAATCTAATCCTTACAAATCCGGCTAGACCAGAGGATGCACACTGGCACAGATAAGAACCAGAAACACAGGGAATCCAGGACAGATGATCCCCTCAGGACCAGTGGTGAGAGCAGTCGGGAAAAATCTATATTCAGTTATATTTTAAAGAACATAGGTACTTATAGGAAAACTTATAAAACTTAAAAATTATATAAAGAAAGAGAATGAATATTCCACTTGACTTCTTCAAGAATTGTTGCTTTATTTAAGTATGTGTTAAAGGATTTGAATTAACTAATATATTCCTTTTACCTGAACTTCTCTTCAGTTCTGACACAACACCCCTTTTAAATGGATCAAGTCAAGATAGAATGTTTGAAACAATGGCAATTGAGATTGAACAACTCTTGGCAAGGGTAAGTACTTTCTTTTATATGACTATTTTGTAATGACTGTACTTATTAGAAGCCCTGGTCATGTGGTAGTGACACATTGGGCTGCAATATGCAAGTTCTAAAGCCCCAGTTACTTCTCAGGAGAAAGAGGAGACCTTCTCTTCCTGTAAACAGTTAGTCTTGAAAACTCGCTGGGGCAGTTCTACCCTGTCCTATAGGGCTGCTGTGAGTTAGAATGGACTTGATGGCAGTGAGTTTGTTTTTGTTTTTGTTTTAAATACTATCAGAGTCCTAGTGGTATAGTGATTATGCATGAACTGCTAACTGCAAGGTTAGCAGTTTGAAACCACCACCCACTCTGAGGGAGAAAGATGAAGCTTTCTACTCCCATAAAGAGTTACTGTCTTGGAGGCACAATGGAGCAGTTCTGTTCTGTCCTGTATAGTCGCTGTGAGTCAGAATCAACTTGATGGCAGTGAATTTGTTTTTGGTGTACTTATTAATAGGTATAATATTGGACTATATTGATATTAATTCTCAATTCACTGCCATCGAGTTGATTTTAACTCATAGGGATCCTATAGGATAGGCTAGAAATTCCTCTTTGGGTTTCCAAGACTTTAAATCTTTTTTTTTTTTTTTTAAGACTTTAAATCTTAATGGGAACAGACAGCCTCATCTTTTTCCCTTGGAGTAATTGGTGGGTTTGAACCACTGACTTTTCAGTTAGCAGCTCAGTGTGTAGTCTACTACACCTCCAAGAGTTCCTCAAACATGTTTATTGAAATTATCTGTTTGTTGACGTTGTACAATAATAGTCATTTTTGAAGACAGGTTTCAGCTGAGCTTCTATTCTAAGACACAAGGGAAAAGGACTGGGCAGTCCACGCTTCGGGGATGCGGGCATAGCAGTGGAGCATTGTGTGATGCAGCCCTGGAAGAGGAGCTCCTCGGTTGAAAAGGCATTCGATATACGAATGCCATTAATGAAAAACAGGACTCTGGAGGGAAGGGGGTCGGGGGAGTGAGTTAATACCAAGGGCTTGAGTAGAAAGAAAATGTTTTGAAAATGATGATGGCAACATATGTACAACTATGCTTGACACAATGGATGGATGTATGGATTGTGATAAAACTTTAAGAGCCCCCAATAAAATGATTTTTTAAAAAGGCTCCAGGAATTGACGGAATGCCAGTTGAAATGTTTCAACCACACTGGCATCATTGTCTGTGTCAAGAAATTTGGAAGACTGCTGCTGCCTGGCCAGTGTACTGGAAGAAATCTATTTGTGCCCATTCCAAAGAAGAGTGACCCAACAGATGTGGAAATCATCGAGAAATATCATTAATATCACTTAGAAGTAAAATTTTGAAGATTATTCAAAATCTGTTGTAGCATTACAATGCCCAAACTCAGCTAGATTCAGATGAGGGTGTGGCACAGTTCTGATGTCAGATGGATCTTGGCTGAAAGCAGAGAACACCAGAAGGATATTTGTGTTATTGGTTATGCAAAGGCATTTGACTGTGTGCATCATAACACTAGATAATGCTACCAAAAATGGGAGTTCTGGGACACTTCATTGTGCTCTTGTAGAACCACTACATAGGCAGTAGTTTAAATGGAGCAAGGGGGTACTGCGGTTTAAAATCAATAGAAGTTGTATTCCTTCACCATACTTACTCAGTCTGTATGCTGAGCAAATCATCGTGGAGCTGGGCTATAGGAAGAAGAATGTGCCATCAGAATTGGAGGAGGGCTCATTAACAGCCTGCAGTACGCAGATGACATGCCATTGTTTGCTGTAAACTAGATCTTGAAGCACTTGCTGATGAAGATCACAGACTACAGCCTTCTGTATGGATTATAACTCAATGTAAAACAAACAAAATTCATCACATAGACAATGATTTCTCCAGTAGAAAAGATAGAATTGTCAAGGATTTCATTTCACATTGTCTGCTATCAACACTACTGGAAATGAGAGTCAGGAAAGGAAATGATGCTGTGCATTGGGCAAATTTGATAGACCAGACCTCTTTATTTTATTATTATCATTTTTTCCAACAGTTTTATTAGTCCAATTCAATAGTCCAATAAGACCTATTTAAAGTGTTAAGACGGAACGATGTCACTTTGAAGCCTAAGGTGTAACTGACCCAAGCCAAGATATTTTCAGTGGCTTTATTATGCCGGAGAAAGCTGGGCAAGCCCACAGAAGAATTGATGCATTCGATTGGGTTGTAGGCAAAGACTTGAGAACCAGGACTGGGAGAAGACAAACACATCTGTCCTGGAGAACGAACAGCCTTAGGAGCAGGGATGACAGGAGGCCTCCTGTCAAGTACTTTATGCATGCTATCAGGAGGGCTCAGTCCCTGGAAAAGGCAATCAGGCTTGGTAAAGTAGGGTCAGCAGAACAAGAGGCAGACCCTTCATGAGATGGATTGACACAACTTATTGCCTGCAACAGTAAGCTCAGAGATCACAAATCTGAGGCTGGTGCAGGACTGGGCAGTGTTGTGTTGTGTTGTGTTGTCCATGGGTCACTGTGAGACAGAACCAACTCGACAGCCTCTAGCAGCAACCGCAGCAGCAGCAGCCAGAGGGATAGTTAAGCCTTTATGGATAATTTGGGACACATGGTGAATCCTTTCCCGTTCTCTATCTGCTTGGGATCTTTTATGCTTCCAGCAAAAAGCAAATAATTTGCTTTTAGCTACTATACTTTCTAATTTTTTAAACTTCTTTTAGCTTACAGGAGTAAATGATAAAATGGCAGAGTATACCAACAGTGCAGGTGTCCCCTCTCTGAATGCTGCACTGATGCACACATTACAGCGACATAGAGACATACTGCAGGTATGTATCGGGTTTAAGATTTTTACATTGTCACAGGAGAGCTGGTTTGTTTATTTGGTTGCTTGTTCTGGTGGTGTAGTGGTGATCCACATGGGTGGCAGGTGGGAACCAGCACCTCCATGGGGAAAAGACTGGGCTTTCCACTCCAGTAAACAGTTACAGTCTCGGAAACCCACAGGAGGTCACTATGAGTCAGCATTGAATTTGAGTTTTTTTATTTTGCTTATTATGTACCCACCCTTAGAACTGGGACAGAAACTACCTAGAAATGGTAAACGTATGATAAACTATGTTTCTATGAGGAAAGAAAATCAGGCATGAGATACCAAATTCACGTATTTAGAGGAAATTCTACAATTGTTAGTTTTTTTTTCCTAACCCATCCCAGGCACTTTTTCTCTCACCTTACCCAGGATTTTCCACCTTCCTGCCTCTTTATTCCCCACAGCCTGGGCAGCATCCCGACCCTTTCCACCTGCTCTGTCTCCATACCCGGGCATTCTTGTGACTCCTCCCACCCCCTTACTTCCACTTAGGACATCTTGCTCTCTTCCTCATCACTCCCTTCACTTGGGGTTATGCTGTTCCCTCCCACTGTTCGACTAATAACCATCCTTTCTCCTCCCCTCTATCTTCCAATTCCTCACTTCTCAGACCTCCCCCAGGAGTTGTTTAAAAATCCTTGGATAGGATGTGTGCTAAATGTGGTGTGATAGAAATTTGTCTTGTGTTAATTTTTTTTTTGTATTATAAAATTCTAAATATGTATAAAAGCTTTTGCTTTTCCCTGATAAAGTGAAATAATATTCGTCACCAGATAAATATAGAGGCATACCTCTGAGATATTGCTGGTTTGGTTTCAGACCACTGCAATAAAGCAGATGTCACAATAGAGCAAGTCACACACTCATTTTGACTTCCCACTGCCTATCCAAGTTAGGCTTGCACTGTAGTCTGTTCTGAGCTGGAGTTGACTCAGCAGCGGTGTGTAGTAACACGAGAAAGCCTGAGGTATTGCAAGCGTTACTAAAACACGATAGAGACATGAAGTGTGCACATGGTGTTGGAAATGGACTTGATGAGATCTGCTCCATGCAGGTTTGCCACACACCATGAGTCTGTTTTTGTTGTTAAAGTGCAATGTCTGAGAAGCAATCGAGTGACGTGCAGTAAAACAAGCCGTTCTTGTGCTCTCCTGATTTAAGAGACCTGGCTAGATAGCTGGCTCAGGCACAGGAAATATGATGGTTAGAGCAGTGGTTCTCAACCTTCCTAATGCCGCAGCCTTTCATACAGCTCCTCATGGTGTGGTGACCCCCAACCATAACATTATCTTTGTTGCTACTTCATCACTGTCATTTTGCTACTGTTATGAATCAGGCGACCCTGTGAAAGGGTCGTTCGACCCCAAAAGGCATCGCGACCCACAGGTTGAGACCGCTGGTTTAGAGTATACTTCTATCAGGCTTTGAAAAGAACATGGGAGTCATTTACTATGCTTAATATATTGTTGGAGAAAATGGTAAAAGTATACCAAAAAACCTAAGTCACTCTTAAAAATTTATATTGGGGTGAGGAGTGGGTGTCGGGTTAGGGAGAATAAAATATGGTAGAACAAATAAGCCAATACTTTTAGCATTGAAAAAAAATTCAACAGCCACTCCTAATTTTAAAAACTCATGTTAAAAATAGGAATAGATAGGTACTTATTGACCTAATACAGAAATATATATTCACTCCTCACCTGTCAACATGGTTAGGTTCCAAAGATCAGGTCATTTTGCAAAAATTGTCAGTATTGTGCGCCAACGGAGGATGGCTGTCATTACATACTAACTGCCAGGTGACGTGCGTTGTTTTAATTAGTACTCTACTTAATCTCTAAGTTCTAATATCCAATGACTACACAGAACTCACAGACAAAACTCACTATTAAAAAGTTTGTTAGGGAAATTAGCACGTTGTATAATGCCAGTGAAAAACGCCCAGAGTTGACTTATGAAGACATGTTACAAAGTCTGCCCCCAAATGCCCAAAGGGCATACCACTCTGCTGTATCATTCCAAAAGCATCCAGCTTAAGCTGTGTGGGTGAGCATACCCAGCTCCCTGAATTAAGTGCCCAGAGGCACCCCACTCTGTAATGCGACCTCCTACACAAAAGCACTTGGCTTAACTTGCTCCGTGGATTGGGAAATCCATCATTTTTTTTTTTTTTTTTGAAATCCATCATTTTGTGCCTTGCTTTGACTCCTGGTTCTGCTGCTGCTCCTCTGATGGTATAGCTGTCTTATGAATCCAGGAGGTTCACCCTGCAGGGATCTTGGGTCCAGAGGACATATTCCATTCCTGGTTCTTACTGGTATTGAGATCCCTCCTCCTGCTTCTCAGAGGATTCATTTTATACACAGCAGGATAGCACTGTTCACAATTACAAGTGAAGCCTATCAGTATGTATCTTCCCCCACCTTCTTACCAGACCCATGCAGGGAAAGGTCATTTGGTGGGAGTGAGAGACTTTGACTAGAAAAGCCACATTCAATAAACAATGCACTGCCTCTGCGGCATCATTAGTAACTGCCAAACCACTGAGAATCATGGCCTAACCAGGTTGAGACAACCTTTACCAGTAAAGCCAATGTTACTTTTGACTTGCCACCTCCATGTTCGTTACTTCCAGATGTGCATGATAAAGGTACAGAATCATTGGCTAGCAGGTTTGTTACTATTATTGCAAGTGTGAAATAGCAGATAGCCTCAGTTAATAAGTGAGGAGTAGTTGTATAGATTAGATTAAAAGCTAACATCACATTTAATGGTGAACCACCAACTGATTGATCCCATCAGATCTCATCATGGAAGATGATTGCGTCATAACCTAACCACTAAACCACTGAAAATCGTGGCCCAAGCAAACCTGACACATGCTCTGGGGACAGGATGGGTGTGGGTGGGCTACGGACACACACATAATTCAATCCATGGCAGGTGACAACTCTGTTACATAGGAGGATTACGAAAAATAGTGTGAAAATAGTTGATTAATTGGGAAAAAAAAACCAACTTCTATTTCATTTCTCACATCTAAAATAAATTATAGTGGATTAAATATTTATATTTAGAAGAGAAGCCATAACAGTTCAGAATAAGGGTACGGATAAATCTAAAACTTTTACATGAGAACACACTTCTATAAGCAAGACTCAACATTGGAAACTGTACCAAATGATTAATTTGCTTAATTTAATATACAGAGAAATTATAGAGATAAATCAGAAAATGACTACCTAAAAGGAAAATGAACAAAGGACATGGACATATTTATAGAAAAGTAGGAGTAGCCAAAAACTACAAAATGATGCATAGCCTCATTCTCAATTAAAAATAAATAAATCAAAATGAGTGGATTTTTCAAAAGAGTAGCAAAAATTACAGTGTTTGTTACTTATTAGCAGGAAGTATAGGTAAGCGTTGGTCAGAGAACATCCGTGCAGTCCTCAGAGAAGACAGGTTCCCAAAAAACCAAACCCACGCCATCGAGTGATGCTGACTCCGAGTGACCCTACCAGCCAAGGCAGAACTGTCCCTGTGAGCTTCCAAGATTAGATGTGAACTGGAGTAGAAAGCCCTGTCTTTCTCCCGAGGAGTGGCTGGGGGTTTCAAACTGCTGACCTTGTGATCACAGCCCAATGCGGAATCACTACAGGTTAGCACTATCAGAATTTAAAATGTATGATTCTTTGAGCCATTTATTATTCTCTTAGACATTGAATCTTTAAACACCCCAAAAATATATTCTCAATTATATGCACATTTATTTCACCTTTTTTGTAAAATAAAATTGAAAGCAATTAAAAATGTGTAGCAGTAGAGAATTTATTAAATTCTGAGACCTTTGTAAGATAGACTACCTGCAGCTAACCTAAAGGTTAGTGGTTTGAACCCACCAAGCAGTGCTCCAGATGATAGGCCTGGCTATTTGCATAAAGATCACAGCCAAGAACACCTGCTGGAGCAGTTATACTCTAACCCAGTGGTTCTCACCTTCCTAACGCCGCCACCCTTTCAGACAGTTCCTCATGTGGTGGTGACCCCCTCAACCCTAACATGATTTTCGTTGCTACTTCATAACTGCCATTTGGCTACTGTTATGAATCAGGAGACCTATGTGAAAGGGTTGTTTGCCCCCCAGAGGGGTCGTGACCCACTGGTTGAGAACCACTACACCTCTGGGCGCTCTGAATCTGCACTGGCTAGATGGCAACTGACCACATGAAAAAGATGCTATAGATTTCTGTTTGCTAAAATGGAAAGGTTGCTTAGTATTTTATGAATTACAGAAAATGCAGTTTTTCTTAGCATAAATTAAAGTACTATTAGATAAACACATACGTAAACACACTTTCTGAAAGGAAATAAAAGGTGATGACAGTAATTATGAGCCAAAGAGTAGACTTTGTCCTCTTTTTGGTAGAGGGGCTGAGGGCTTTTTGTATATTCTCACCAGGCTCGCGTATTAATGCTGTTTTCAGGTCAGGGGTTCCTCTAGGATGTGGTATTGTGATTTTCGTCTTCCACACTTCTCTGAATTGTAACGAGTGAATAGTCCTTAACGTCTTTCGCTAGGGTAGTGCAGTGAAGGAAATGTGCACAATCCTCTTTGTATCTGCTTCTTTGTTTAATGCAGGGATAAAATGTGTAGAAGCTCTAAAAAGATCAAATTTTGAAATAAGCTTTATTGGACACAGTAGTAAGTGGAAAGCGCAGCTCAAGCTTTAACCGAGCTCTTTGAAAAAAACCTTAGAATTTTTTTTTTTTCCTTTATAATTTTGCCTCAAGATATTCAAGTTCTGAGCTCATTGTCCCAACTCATAGTGACCCCTTGTAGGCAGAGTAGGACTACTCCTTTGGGTTTCCGAGGCTGTCAGTCTTTTGGGGAGTAGATTTCTCCCTCACAACAGCTGTGGGTTCAAACTAGTGACCTTACAGCCAGCAGCCCAACTAGTAACCCTCTACACCACCAGGTCTCCTCAGGGTAAGCTACTAGAGCAGCGGTCCTCAACCTGGGGGTCGAAAGACCCTTTCACAGGAATCCCCCAAGTCATCACAGTAGCAAAATGACAGTTATGAAGTAGCAATGAAAATAATGTTATGGTTGGGGTGGGGGTGGGGGGTCACCACAACTTGAGAAACTGTATTAAAGGGTCATGGCATTAGGAAGGTGGAGAACCGCTGCCCTTGAAGATAGGTATTTTGTGGCAATGTTACCGTAACACCAAATTGTTTTCATTGGAAGATGTTTGTCATGGTTCAGGAAAATAATTATAAAGTTATTTTTGCTATTTGGCAATTTGATCTCTTAAATAGTTGTTTGTTTTTTAGAGAAGTTGCAGTCTGCTGACAGTAAATATTTGATTCAATGAGATGAGGGTATATAATTTATGTTGAGATTTAATGTTGATTTATTGCAGGACTATACACATGAATTTCATAAAACCAAAGCAAACTTTATGGCCATACGGGAAAGGGAGAACCTAATGGGATCAGTCCGAAAGGATATTGAGTAAGTGACATTTTCTTAACATCGAATTGAATAGCATAATATGAGATTTTAGGGCTTTTAATTCTCATTTTACTGTTCTTTGAACTTTGAAGCTATCAGATGGTGTTCATGTACTGTTCTGGTCTAATTGTCTGCTTCCCCTACTTTAATCCTGGGCTCCTGCCAACTTTTGACTTTCCTGCCTTAAGTCCAGCTCGTGTGTGTGTGTGTGTGTGTGTGTGTGTGTGTCTCTCTCTCTCTCTTCAACACTTAATTTAAAAAATTTTTCTTTTTCTTTAATAATTTTATTGGGAGCTCTTACAGATATTCTAACAATCCATAATTCAGTTATAATCATAATTGTACAATTACTGCCACCATCATTTTCAAAATATTTTCTTCTTGAACTCCGCCATCAGCTCTCCTTTATCCCCTCTGTCCCCCACCCTACCCCCCAGGAGCCATTATTCTTATAAATAGTTAATTTTTGTTTTTTTTTACTTTTTTTTGCCATATTTTACACTGTCCACTATCTCTGTTCCTCTGCAGTTCTATTACTCGTTCCCCTCGAGTGGGGTTATACAGTCAACTTTGCTATCAGCTCCCCCCTTCCTGTACCCCCAGGGAATCATTGTTCCCATCACTATTTCTGACACGTTTATCTATCTTGGATTTCATGCATTGAACAATCTTCATTATACAAATGAATAATCACAGGTCTAACGAGCTTAATGAGGTAAAGCTGTGACTGTAATAGTAAGGGGAGGAAATGTTAAAGAGCTAGGTATGTGTTTCATTAGCGCTGTACTGCTCCCTGGATATATCTTCCCTCCTGTATGGCCCTTCTGTGAAGGAACTGTCTAATTATAGTGGGTTTTGGGTTTCCACTTGTCTCCACTCCTTCATGTCAGTTGATTGCTTGTTTTTGAACTTCTGATACCTCATGATCACATAGGCTGGTATGCTTCCATGTGGGCTTTGTTGCTTCCATTCTAGATGGCTGCTTGAATAACTTCGAGCCTTTAAGACCCCAGACACTATATCTTTTTGATAGCCGGGCACCATCAGCTTTCTTCACCACATTTGTTTGTGCACCCGTTTAGCCTTCAGCCATCCTATCAGGAAAGTAAGTATCGTACATTGCCACATTATTAGAACAAACTGTTCTTGTACTGAGGTAAGTTTTAAGTAGAGGCCCAAAGTCTGTCTGTTTCCTTATTGTATTTATATAAATATATATATAGGTGTGTTACTATATATACATAATATAATATGTATTAACATACCTATCTTTATATTTACTATATATATGACTATTACTTTCTAGTTCTTACCTCTTTCTCTTTTTTCTTTCCTCCTGCCCCACTATTATACTTACCTATCATTCACCTCTCTGTTATTCCTCTTGAATACATTTCAATGGATCAAAAACTATCTGGAACACTACGCCATTCTCCCCTTGCTATTCCCCTCTCCCTGTCATTATTGCTTCCTCATTCCCCTCCCACACCACCTCCTCGCCCATGTCCCGCCCCCCTTCAGTCCTATTGCTGTCCCCTTGGAGTTGCTTATCTTGCCTATCTTATATAGAGCGACACCATAAGAGAAAAGAATAAAAAGACACTACACAAGTAGTTCCAAGTCTAGCTGTTGTCCTGATCCACAGTTGATGAGTATCTCCCTGTTAAATAGCTGGCAGACTCTATTAAAATCCATTGGTCCAATCCCCTTTTCTTTCAGGGATCCCTTTCCCAAGACCCACTTATCTAACATCCCTTATACCCTTTAGTCCTCAGCATTCATGCAACTTCTACAAGACCCCATTGCTCTTCTTGCAGTCAAGGATGGAGCCGTCTAAGTGCCCCACCCCCATCCTGTTACTCCTTTAGACTTTCCATGAGGCCCCCTTGTGAATCTCCAACTTCAGATGAGGTGCCAAGTCAGAAGTCTATAGTCTTTATGATCAAGCTGCTTCAGGCATTTCATGACTGCTCCCATTGCTGGTCTGTTACACTCCTCCCTGGGTTTGCCCCCATGTGGGTGGGTCAGGCTGACTAGCACTCCTGGAACTGTGTTTTGTGCTGTCTTCTGTAGCCCTGTTGTCTAGGGAGGGGACATCATGTCTCAAGCTGAGGCCAGCCCTCTCCTTGATTGAGCTGCTTCGAGCAGGAATGGAGTATTACACATCCCTAAAAAACATCATGTCCAATCCACAAGGGTTGGGCACACCGGAATGAAATCTGTTCTCTCTCTCCCTTTCCTTTGGAGACATAAACAATATCCTCCCCTTGGGTGAATTAGTACCCTATTCCCCCATTGCCATCTTTTTTATTCCCCCACCTTTCTGTGGGCCGTAAAAGCATAGGGGGGGGGAGGGGAATGTCTTTCCACACAGGTGCTATCTGTATCTTTTTACTTTTTTTCTTTTTCTTTTTTTTTTGATGATCTATGCATCATTGTGTTTGGTCTGGTTCTTGCCAGAGTATCTGGTTTTCAGCCTGGGAACTGTGCGATATGTACATTTTCCCCTGTGCCCGCTCTGTTTAAAAATACTTCAGTGTACTCATGTTGTACTTGTCCTTTTGTGCTTGGCTAACTTCTTAGCTCAGTATAATGTCCTCCAACTCTTTCCACGAGACAAGGTGCTTCATTGTTTCATCACTGTTTTTTAGGGATGTGTAGTACTCCATTCGGTGTATATACCAGAGGGGTTTTTTTAATCCATTCGTCTAATGATGGAAGTTTAGGCTGTTTCCAATTCTTTGCAATTGTAAATTACATGGTGATGAACATTGGAGTGCAGATGTCTGGTTGTGGCTTATTTCTTCTGGGTATATGCTCAGTGGTGAAATCACTGGGTTGTAAGGTAAATTGATTTCCATCTGTTTTAGCTATCACCAAATCACTTTCCACAGTGGCTGTAAGTATCTACAAGACCACCAGTGGTGAATGAGAGTTCCTCAACACACCCTCCAATATATGTGTTGCCTTTCTGGTTTTTTTAATTGGGCTATCCTTGTGGGTGTGAGGTGGTATGTCATGGTTGTTTTGATTTGTATTCCCCAGATGACTAATGATCAGGAGAATTTTCTCATATGTTTATTGGCCATTCAGGTTTCCTCCTTTGTGAATCTTCTCTTCAAGTCTTTTGGCCACCTCCTCAGTAGGCAATTAGTTTTTTTCTTCTTGTAAGGTTGCAGGGTTCTGTAGATTTTAGTAATAACACCTTTGTCTGATATGTCATTCCTAAATATCTTTTCTCAGAGTGTGGGTTCTCTCATTACTCTCTATGAAATCTTTCGATGAACACAAGTGTTTTCTCTTTAGTATTCTTCATTATTGCTGATAGCCCAGGTATTCCTGAAGTTTTGTCCTAATTTTTTCATTGATGATCCTGGGGTTTACCTTGAGGTCTGTGATCCACCTTGAATTTTTCTTTGTGTATGAGGTGAGGTAAGGGTCTTGGTTCATTCTTTTGCAGGTTGATATCAGTATAAACCAATACATCTTTCCTGCTAGGCAAACATCGAGCAACTCACTCTGAGTTAGTGTGCACAGTGGTGTTGCCTGGGAAGGTTCTCTGTGGTCACAGTGAATTTTTTCATAAAAGCAGTTTCACTTGAACCTCATATTTTGTGATGGCCAATTTAAGAGAACAGTGGGCAACTGTGAAATTCTGTTTCTTGCTCAGGAAAAATGCCACAGAAACAGTTGTAATGGTGAACACAGCTTATAAGGAGAGCATTATAGGAAAAACTCAATTGTACAGTGGTTTTCTTGTTTCAAAAAAAAGTGAAATGTCGATAACAAACCTCGTTCTGGATGGCAGTTAACTTTCCAAATAGATGGAAATGTTGACTCGTAGTGCATTTGGATTTGATTCTGCCATGTCAGACTGTTCATCAAGCTTTCTGGCAGATAGGGAACTGGTTTTGCTACCAAGACAATGCGCCTGCTCACGCAGCCATCTCAGTGCTCCAGTTTTGGGCAAAAAACAGCATGCCCCATGCACCTTACTCACCTGACCTCGCTCCAGTGGCTTCTTTTTGTTTCTTCAAATGAAGAGGAACATGAAAGGACATTGATTTGATGACATGTCAGCCATCCAAACAGTTTGAAAAATGTTTCCAAGAATGGAATCGCAGATAAGACAAATGTATTAAGTATAATGGAGAGTACTTTGAAGGTGATAAGGTTGTTTATTTGATAAGGTTGTTTTGTAAAAAAATTTAAATACATAGCTTTGAAAATAAAATTCTGGGTTTTGGGGAGGTATTGTTCAGGTAGTACACTTGTTTTTGCTGTCCTTTTCCTAATTATTCCTCCACATGAACTTAAAATTGCTGCCCCCTAAGCTGCTTATTTAACCTTTTGAAATGCTGTTGTCAGTTTTTTCCCTTACAGATAATTCTTTAAAAGAATACAGTGTCAAAGGTAGACATTCTTTACAAACCAAGCTAGACTGTCATGTGGCTTAAAGAAGACATCAGGAGGTAGTTTGAGTGTAAAGTTCAAAGATTATCTCAGGGCGGTGGTTTGGGGGGTTCATCCAGTCTCTGTGGCTCTAGAAAGTGGATTCCACGATAATTTGAAGTTCTTTTATGCCTTTTATCCCTCCTTTGATCAGGATTCTTTAGAATCTCTGCTCAAAAAGACCAACTTGGCCAACTGTACAAAGTTATGATCTAGGCGCCAGATGGGAGTGGTAGCGACTCAAATTAGACTCAATACAAGGCAGAATGTGCTTAGTGAAATAGGATTTATGCTTGATATTTTCTCTTTAAAGGGTTTGGGTTTGTTTTTGCATGTTACATATTACTTTTCTGTGTTTGATCTCTCGTTGGTTTATAACAGTCTTTTGGTATTGGTACCCATTATTAGTCCCATCTTGGGAAACTAGATGCTGGGAGACTTACGCGGCGGCCTGGCTAGATAGAACCCCAGGTGGTCAGTCTTCCAAGTCTAGAGTGTCCCTGGTGTCAGTCGTGCTGCTTTTCCTGGTGCTCTTTCCATTGTGCTTTGCAATGCCTCCCAACTAGCACAACTTTTTTTTTAATTCCCTCTTATAGTAATGTGCAGTAATCTGAATTAACATTTTATTCTTGATACTTAGCCACACATTCCCATACCCTCTTTTAAATTCCTGACTCTGCTACTTCTCTGTTAACTCCAGGTAAAGGGAGACCCAGTTGTGCTACTAACGATTTTGTTTGTTTGCTGTTTTCTTCGTTTAAGAATATCAGGTTACTTTAAAAACAACATAGGAAACTCTTAGCATTACATTAGGGAGGCAATCCTATTTATCTAAAGAAGATATTAATTTTTAAGGAAGCTAACAGGATTTAAACATTTTAATTGTACATTCAAAACAATGAAAAGGCTCAATGTGTTCACTTTGGCTATCATTAGGGTCAGTCACTTAATCCGTTTTTGTAGTTTCTTCCGAAATATTCTTAAATGGGGTTTCCCACTGCCTCTGCTGTGAGTCCTAGCAGCTTTAGGGGTGGGCAGCGTGGCAGTGGCCAGCAACCCAGCTTCAAGAAAGCTCTCAGTGCCCTGAGGTCCGAAGGCATACAGCACGCACCCTCCCCACAGCCACGATGCCCCAAAGGAAGGCCAGCTCCACCGAAGGGGAGGTGAAGGAGGATCCCAAGAAGAAACCGGTGAGGTTGTCAGTGAGACCTGTGCCGGCAAGAGTGGAGCCGAAGCCCAAAAGGAAAGGACAAAATTTCAGACAAAGTGCAAGCAAAAGGGGAGGGGAGCAAAGGGAAAACAGGCTGAGTCCGCCAACCAAGAAACTAAAGGAGATTTACCTGCCGAAAATGGAGAAGGAAAAAGGAGAGTCCAACCTCTGATGAAGCAGGAGAAAAAGAAACCAGGTCTACTGAGTGTTCATTGGTAGATCATGTCTGATCAGTGGGCCCTGGGCTCTCCCTTCTTAGACTATCCAGAGGAATATTTTTATCAGCTATTTGTAAATGCAAGTTTTTCAGTAGCCCCAGAAACATTTACGTGTAAGTAAAATCATTTATTGGTTGTTTATTTTTTGGTGCAACCAAATTGAAGTGTGAGATTTGACCGTCACGGGTGTCAACATATTCCATGGAATAGTGGGTGGAGTTTTGGTATCACTATACAAAACATAATGGCAATTTGGAGTCATTGTCATGCATTTGTATGACTTGAACATTTAAAATTTTGTTTTCGTGGTGTGGTTTTTTTATAGACCTGTGTCTGCAAACCATTCCATCATCGTGGTTTTGTCAGGACTGTGTACATAATGTATCACCTTTGGTCGCGGTGGTCCAGTTTTCCTGATCACTTTATTATACGCTGTGAAGGGTTGAACATTTGAGTATGTAGTGTGTGTGACATTAAATTGTGAACTAGTGGGACTTAAGAAGTAACAGCTTATCAACATTTGAAGATAACAGTTTTTGATAAACTCTTTAAAAATAGCTTCCAAATTTAAAGCTGGAAATTCACTGGAATTTAGAAAAGAATTGTATCTACATGTCATTTTGGGATTTGCGTACATGCATTAAGAATTGTGTGCAAATTGTTCATAAAATCTCCGTACTGATCTCAAAACAACCAATAAAATGCCAGTTACAAAAGAAAAAAATTGTTCTTAAACGTTTCCTTGTTAAAGCATGCATCCACCGAAGATCCTGTACTTAGAAGACCTAGTCCTGAGCAGCAGCGAGAGTGGAACCACGGTCTGCTCCCCCGAGGACCCCGCTTTAAGGCACCTCCTAGATGGAGGGAGCAGGGCTGTCATAGAAGAGGCCCCACGAAGAAAAAGCACTGTTGAAGATTTTGAAGCCAATACATCTCCCACCAAAAAAAGGGGCCGACCACCACTAGCCAAAAGAGATAGCAAGACGAACATCTGGAAGAAGCGAGAGGAACGCCCACTAATTCCCCTCAATTAACACCAACAGTGACTGTGTCTCTGCTGTCTATCCATGCTTCTTGTAAGTGGTGGCGGGAACTGCCAAGGAAACAGACGGAGGGCAGTCTCCTGGCCCCTGGACATGTCTAAAGCAGAGCAAATGGTCAAATGACGACATGACAGTAACCAGAGGGAAGGATACTAAGGAATTCTTTTTTTCAGCCTCTTCATTTATTTTGGGGGGGTTGATTTTGAGCTATCCATGTTTTCCACATATAAAATAGCCTCAAGGTGTCAGTTTTCAGTCTGCTAATTTGGCCCCTGTCTTAAGAATAACATAGTAAAATGTGTATTATTAAAGTTGCTTCCAAAAATGTTAAAAAAACAAAAACAAAAACAAAAAAAACGTTTCCTTGTTTTCTCTTAGGTCATACAAAAGTGGGTCTGGGGTAAATAATAGAAGAACTGAACTGTTTTTGAAAGAACATGACCACCTTCGAAAGTAAGTATTACTGGATGTATGCATGCTATGGAGGTTTCTGTGTTCTTATTCTACAAACATTTAAGTGATATTTCATATATGAAGTTCTTTGTTGTTGTTAATTCCATTAATGGCCCTATTGACCCTATTTAATAGAAAAGAAATAACAACAGTTCTAAGCATAGTTAGGAGAAATGCTACCTGTGAATTAACCAAAACTGACATTCACATCACTTAATTGTTAACCTGATATGTTTTTATTACCGTTATATGTTCTTCAGCAAGTCTAGTGCTTTTATACATTACCATAGTAATAAAAATAGTGATAATGACTTAATGTTTGAATGGCCCAGTTCCATATATATAATGCCAGGAGGCTTTATAGATCACCTATCAAAATGATGTGGAAATGACATCTGACCTCCTCCAGCTCTGCAAGGGAGAAGGAAAATCAAACTCCACATCAGCAACATCCGAAGCCAGTTCTATGAGGCCTGAGGTCAGACGTGCCTCTGCTCTCTCTCCTTCTTACCCCTGTTCTGACATCGGCCATTCCTCCCACAGCAGTCAACGTCCCCTGCACTCGACATTCTGGCCGTTTGAAACTGTATTGCAGTGACCATGCAGCACTCACAGGCAGGTTCACAATTAGAGGATTTATTAGGGAAGTTAACAGGGTACAGTTTGTAGGACAAACTCTCAGGAGACAGTTGTTCAGTTAGAATAGTTTGTTCTACGCAGTACCTTCAGGCAGGCCTCTCTCTGACCCTCAGCCTCTTGGCCTAGCCTCTGCCCTGCTCAGGCAGTGTTGCAGAGTTGCCAGTGAATGCCCAAAGGACTTGCCACTGTGCCAAAAGCCTCAGCCTGAAGGCACTTAGCTCCAGCAAATCCCACTCCTCCAATTAAGTGCCCAGAGGCACCAGACTCCACAAGCCAGCTAGCTTCCTGCCCCAAAGCACTCAGCTTTGCTTTGTGGGCTGGGAAGTCCACCCCTTTGGCTGCTGCTCTGGCTCCTGGTTCTATTGCTCCTCTACCACTCTGCTGTCACAGCTGTCTCCTAAATTATGAGGTTCGCCGCTCAGAGCTCTCCTGGCTCTTCTCTCCTGCCCGCCCCACTTCTGAGACGGCTCACTGTAAACCCAACAAGATGGCAGTCACAATGAATCCTGTTAACAATCTCTCAGCGGAACCAATAATCCAATCAATATATTTCCCTGCTGCACCCTCCTCTTACCCAGCCCTGTCGAAAAACAAAGGTCCTTTGGTGGGAGTAACAAAATGTACTAGATACGTAATTCACTGCATTTACAAATCTAAAGAAAATACCAGATTTTCCCAGAAAACAGAATAAAAAGTGTAAAAATAGGAATGGGCAATTTATATAAAAGGGATTTTAAAAGTTTGTAGGAAAATTTCATTACCTTTTAATTCCATTTTTCCATGAATTAGTAAAAAACCAAAAACCGTGTGTGTGTGTGTGTGTGTGTGTGTGTGTGTGTGTGTGTGTGAGTGTGTATACAGATATAAAATAAGTCACCATATTCAGTGCTTCCTTGATGAGTTTTTCAATTATGGGCTAATTTGGTTTTGAAAGAATCAGATGTCTTTAATATTGACCCTGTATTTTGTAACAGGGTAAGAACAGAAAATTACTGTGAACTCAGCTAAGTTCTTTTTTTTTTTTTAATCATTTTATTGGGGCTCATATAATTCATCACAGTCCATACATATATCAATTGTGTAAAGCACACCTATACATTTGTTGCCCTCATCATTCTCAAAATTCGCTTTCCTCTTGGGTTCCTGGAATTAGCTCATTTTGCCTCTTAAGTTCTTGAGCACCTAAGCATCCATGATAATTAAATGCTAGAAAATTAAACTGCTAATTACTGCTGTCAATCATGCCCATATGAGCCTGATAAGGCTGTTTAATTTTTCTCTAAAGGTCATCACTTTAAATATTAAGTTGTTGAAATCAGAACAATGAAAGATCAAGACCTTTTTAGAAGTCTTCCTAGGTGCTTCTAATAGTGGAAGTAGTGGTTAGTTTCTTAATCTGGTGAGTAATATTGATTGACACAAGGGGGCAGTGTCTCCTAGATGTTTCCTTTGTAGCCATGAAGAGCTTTGGTAGTTCTTTTTGTGTTTGATAAAATCAACCGTAAAAAAAATGTTTGAATTGCATTAAAAGTAGTGATGGTATTAGGAATAACATAGTCAAGGAGAACAGTTAGAGATTATGTTTTATATTGGCTACTTTGTTGAAAGTCATTTGACTGTATACATATACATACACATAGGTTTATTTCTGAAGTCCTTATTTCCATGTAGGTTTTACAATCAGATTGTAAAAGGGTCTGTTGGGATTTTAAGTAGAATTACATTATTTATCCCACAAATTGTTGGTGAGAGTTGCCAATAATTTTTAATAATAACGAGTCTTCGAATCCTGAGGAATAGAATGTTTCTCTTTTTATTTAGGTCTTTAATTTCTCCCAGTAGCATTTGCTAGTTCTTAGCATACACATCTTATACAAAGTGTGTTAAATTTAAGTACTGTTTGGGGATACAGTTTAAAATTTTGTTTTTCATGTGTTTTGCTAATCTAGAAATAATGTTATCTTTTAGTCATTAACTTTTTATCTTGTGACCTTAAATTTACTAGTTCTAGGCATTTTTAGGTAAAATCCTTCCGATTTGGTTCCTTTGTGTATGAGTAGGGCTGCAGTAACAAAGTACTATAAAGTAGTGGGTATCTTAAAATGACAAAAATGCATTGTTTTACAGTTCTGGAGTTTTAACGTTCTAATTGAAGTTGTCATCAGGGCTCTTGTCTCTACCACCTTCTGGTAGCCTGTGTGTTTCTTGGCATGCAGTGCCAGAGGGGAATTTTCTCTCCCCAGGTGAATCTGCTTGCACAGTAAGCCATATCCCCCTTTCTCTGTGGAAACATTCAAGGATTATTGCAGTGTTAGCCCTGATTGATATCACTGTATATTAATCTAACCAGTTTCTGTTACTCATTTATCAAGCATTTAATGAGTATCTCCTGTGTGCCAGGTATTGTATTAGACTCCAGGGAATCAGGAATGACTCAGATGCAGTCACTACCCCCTGGGAATTCATTCCAGTTAGAGAAATAGTAAACAAAAAATTACATCCCGTGAAGTATTATATAAAAAAATTAAATGAGATAATGTGTGATCTTAAAATGTTACATGTTCTTTACACATTTAAGACATCCTTCCTCTCCACCACTCTCTCCCCCCTCCCCCGACCCCCTCCAGTGCCTAGCACAATACCCAACAGACTGGTTCTTGAATGAATTGAGGAAGAGCAGGGAGTTATGACAGCATATTGTTGTGGCACAATGAGGATTATTCTGTCTAGATTGACAGGCGCAATGGGGAGGTGTCCGAGGAGCTGACTTTTGAAAAGGTGGGCTTTGAAATAGAAATCATTTATTAGGTTTCCACTCAAGACAAGGCATTCCAGAGTGGGGGCGGTGGAGGTGGATGGAAGGCATAAAAGTGCCTTGATTTCCATCAGCTATATCTCTATAAGGAACGCTGTTACACTTCTATAAGAGGTGGGTTATATAGTGGGTTGGTAACCGCATGCACACGGACAACAATTTAAACCCACCAGCTGCTCCTCAGGAGAAAGGCGATGCTTTTTGTTCTCATAACGATGTACAGTATAGCCTTAGGAACCCTAGAGAGCAGTTCTGCTCGGCCCTACAGGGCTGCTGTGAGTTGGAACGGACGTGAAGGCAGTGGGTTTGGATTGGGTTTATAGATCTAAAGCTTACTTCGTTTACAAGACACTTTAGTTTACATTGTCTCTTCTGACCCTATGACTACCCTCTGAGGGAAGTTCACACAGCCAAGTGCTTGAGTCCTGACCAGACCCCAGATTCCAGGGTGTAAGAGAGAACAATTAACCAAATGATTATTTGTAATTAGTAGTAGTAGTTTTGAGACTGTCTAGATTGATAATATGGACTTTTTACGATGTATATGATTTATATATAAAAAACACAATGAAGAATCGTTTCATTTTTACATTGGTAGAGCAGAGTAGCGTATTTTGGCGTACAAGTTATTAGTGGTTTCAAAAACAAAAATCCTTAATATGTTCTAGATTGTTCATGATTTGGGTAGTTTTTCAGAATCTTTAGTTGTTTTCAACCATGAATAGCAAAACAGAAACTATGGCCACCATGTTCTCTAAAGGTATTTCTGTTACAGTTGAGTAAATTGTCAATTTTGAGGCAGGGTAGTCACCAAACTGCTTGTTTAAAATACTTAAAGGAAAAAACAAAAATGCCTTTCACATTTGTAGTTGACTTCCTGTTGTATGTATTTAATTGGGTGTTCCTATTAGAAATAATTGACATCATAGGAAACCCATTTGTCAGTGCTGATTCCGTCTCAGAAGGAAATTAATTTTACTGGGAAAACAGGCAAATTGAAAGCAAAATTTTGCAAAGCACCCAGCCCTACTCTGGTCTGCTTTTGAATCAATGATCTGCAAATATTTTAATTCTTGAATCGCCCTCTTAATTAACTATTGATTATTTGATTTTTAGACTTTAAAAGAGACAGGCATAGTTGCAGTTACAGATTTTTAGATCTTAGAACTGAAAGAAACCTCAGGAGGTCTTTTAATGGTCCTAGACTATGATGATGTGTGCGGGAACACTGACTTTCCAAGATCTCAGTGCTAAGAATTCTAGCCTTGTTTTTCTCTCTCTTTACATGGGTAGAATGCTGGGTCTGTCAGATTCTTAACTTTTGGCCATCAGAAAACTACGTGTGATTATAAAAACCAGAACGCCTGTGCTAAGTCATGAAAAAAGAGCAAGTAAAGAAATTCCTGGTCTACCCAGACTGGGGAAGGCGCCCTGATGGCACAAATGGCTTATGCACTTGGTCATTAACCAAAAGGTTATGGTTTGAACTCACCTTGCCACTCCTGGGCGAAAGAGCAGGTATTCAACCTCTGTAAAAGTCACAACT